GCAGAGATAGCAATACACAAGGACTTACGCATACTGATATGTAGCAATTATATTGCTACATAATGCTATATCCGATTCTCATTGTAACTACAATTAACAATTCTTTGGTTATTTTATCTGTTCTAAGAATCAGTTTTTAATTTCATTTACATAATCTGAATTTTCATGATTTTATTCTATTCTCTAAATTTCAATAAACATAAGGTCGTTTCGTGGACCAGCATCCATGCATTGTTTAACAAATTTATATAGCAATCGGAATTCTAGAAACAAATTCATGCTGCAAATTTTTATTGCAAGGTTGATATTTATTCTTGACCATAAAGTGTCTTTGTCCAGTCGACACCTGAAATTGAAGCTATAGATGTTAGCAGCTTCTGTAAATTTCTGATCTGATAAAACCTCAGGAGCGACATAAGGCATTATAACACCTGAATTGTTTTCATGATACTTTTTAGCATACTTTCACTAATCCTTTACCTTGCAAAGTAGAACAATTTGAATGGTTTTATGAATATATCCTGCTTGATGAAATCTATTTAAATCATTAGGATTATTCTTATAACCAGACAAGTTTTTAAATGCAACTGTGCTATAAGGATCCGAATTTGACAGGGCTTTTACTGTCACGTGATAATCGGAAACAAATGTTGTTGAGCTAAGAAGAATATTATTATTAGCAAAATTGTACAAGGAAATTTTTTTGTTAGAACTTTAAAGATGGTTTACTAGATTAAATTTTGAGATTTTTGCAAAGCGAACGTTTGTTTTGAAATTTTTACGTTACACCTGATCTTGATTTTTAATTGGCTAATATGCGTCAGAAAATCATGTGACAGTAAACCTACGCCCTGGTGTTGTCATAAGGATCCTGGGTACTTACACATTTGTCATGAAAAATTTTTCATATGCCATGTTTGCCAATGATCATTCGTTGCAGAAAATATAGAACCAAATACTCAAACATTTATAATCATAAAATCTAAGATAAAACTCTTTCACGCAATTATTAATATCCTATATCAGAATTACACTACGCTTTACATACATAATATAAAAGATAGAATTAAATTTATATAATACTTTCTATGTGCACTTTTAAATTTTAAAGTCTTACAATTATGCGACATTATGTTTATTAGCTGCCCGATACGATAGTATCGGAGCAGCATTTTGTCTCGAATCGAACACGGAGTCTAATTAATTGATCGAATGATTATTGTGTTATCGTGATTTATTGCTTGATAAGTAGGGTGTATTATGCAAACGTTTATAGTGAAATGACGTGACTTTTAATTGTATTGTGTAGTATTTTCGATTAGTAATCGTGGGAGTTTATCGGTATAATTAATTGCGTAATTTTTTCGTTAGAGTTAGTTATAGTAGCGACGTAATTACGTCGTTAGGGTTTTTAGAGCAACGTCGTAATTACATAGTTTTTTGATTTGTAATCGTTAGTGCATACTTAAGGGCAGGGTTGTAAAATTACAGTAATTTACGTAAGTTACCAAAATAATAAGTTACTGGTAACTTACCATATTTTCTAAATTCAAAATTACTATTATTAAATTTAGCTTTTGATTTGCGAATTAAAGAATATGAACTTCTAATATGTGATAAAACTATAAAGTAAAAATCGAAAATTTTATTCATTTAAATCTTGAGAATCACTACAAATATCTATACATCCATTTTCATCATATGTAATTAACTCATTCTCTGAAAATAAATCATCAAATACATCTTCTTTGAAATTTTCTTTTCATTATTCACCCCTAAATCTTCAACAAAATCTGTAATCTTATTTAAATCATCTACTCAACCCAAATCTTTCAAAATTTGTAAATTCCATTGAATATAAACATATTTTTCTACTTTTGAATCTGTAAGTTTGTTATGCAACTTATTGTGTATTAAGCCAAAGTAGATGAATTTCTTTCACATGCTGCAGAGGTGACTGGTATTGATAATATACATAGTGCAACCTCACTTAGTACAGGATATCTACCCTTAAATAAGCCCACCAATTTATTGAATTTTGTACAAGGTTAGAATTTCACAAACATTGTCATGCAAAATGACTTTTTTTAAAAACATATTCTGCATATTTGATTAATATATTTTTTTGATATTAATTTGATACTAGTCATATTAATTCATCTTCAATAATCAAATCTATTTTTTTTAAATTTAAGCTTTTATTTTGATATCAAGGATCAAGTTTATATGTTAATATAATTACTGGATTATAAAGAAAATTTTTTTATTATTCTGTTCTCTTATTAATTGAATTAATTTTAAAGTCATCCAAAATTTTAGTATTTTCAGAGATAAAAATTTTTAATTTACATAATTCAGAATAAGCTGTTGAAGTGTTGGTTAATCAGTTTGTAATTTTCTTAAAAAAGTAGTAAAAGGTGAAAGAAAATTATAAAAAATTTTAAGATTATTCCAAAAATTATCTGATAAAATTTTATCTTTAATTTTATCAGGTATTTTAATATTATCTTCAAATGTAATTCTTTGAATAGCTATTTTAGTTTTAGAAGATTATTTGTAGCATAAAATATAGATCCCTATCATATATCTCCAGAAAGTAATAATGATATATATTTATTATAAACTTCAAGTTAAAGTCATCATAATGTTGCTAAAATTATTTGATAATTTTGAAAATAGTTAAGAATTTTTTTTATAAATCATACAGTTTGAGATGTCTATTTTAAATTAATAATATCTTTAATCCAAAAGTTAATCCTATATGCTCAACAACCTAAAAAATTCTAATTATAAAATATAATTAAATAATTAAATATACAATACATATAAATTATATATAATAAATTTAATATAGTTAATATATACCTTTTAAAAAATGATGTTTTCAAAATTTCTCAAGCTGCTTTTATAATATTAGCATTATCTATAATTATTGCAACAATTTTATTTTTTTGATTTTATCAATAATATGTTCAATTTCTGCTGCTATATTAATTGCTGTATGCTGTTGTTTACTAGTAAATATTGTTTTATAAAAAAAGGACTTGGCATTGTAATCATATAGTTAATTATTAGCAATTAGTAAATATTAGACTATCTATTGCTTGTAATACAAAAGTATTCAGATTTATTCAAAATACTTTCAACAAGTTGTTTAATTTTTATATATTCTTGATGCAAAAGTATATTTAATAAATGGAATCATGATGGAACCTTAAACTATGGAATGTTTTTTTCAAATATTGCTTTAATAACTTTATTTTCAATAATATTAAATGATATTCCAGCTGACAAAAAGCCTGTGTTAATAAATTTTCTAGTGTTTGTTAATCATTTTTAGTATATTTGTCAATGGATGATTAAATTATATGATGCTTTTTTTAAAAAAATTGTTGCTATACTATTATTATTTATTATAGTATCTGTTGATTTGGTTGATTTTTTTGATAATTCATACAATTTTCAAGGTGATTTTGAAATTTTGTAGTATTTTTAACATATGTAGTATTATAATGCCTACAATGATACTTCTCTGTTCCTTCTGAATTAATATCAACTAATTTATATTTATTTTAAAAAATATCTTTTTGTTATAGTATTTGTAAATAATATATATAATAGTATAATTTTATTTATTTTTGATATAATGTTTCAAGCTATTTATACTATATAATTATTGATTACTAAGTTTTGGAATTATGAATTTTCTATAATTTAATTTGTAATTATAATATAATTTATTATAGTCCTTATTATGTAACTTACCATTAAGAAATTTTAGTAACTTACTGATAACTTATCATAGTAAGTTATAATAGAAAAATTACTTTTAACAATACTGCTTAAGAGAAATGAGTTTTTTTTTCAGACAAGATAATTTTTGTTTTTTCTACAAACCTGACTTTGTCTGATTTTTTATACAAATTTTTATATATACAATTCTTGCATACTCATTTTTCTTAAACTCTTCTTACATATAGTTAGTTATTGTTTACTAGAAATAGAAATAAAAAATATAATAATAATAATAATAATAAAGTACTCTTGCATTACCTGGGTTTTTCATTAAGCATAGGCTACTAGTTTTTTATTAACTTCTTATACAATAATTATAAACAAATATGTTACTGTTTTATAAATAAATTTTTTTGGCACTACTCATTTGATATTTTTATATAAAAGTAAAATTACTTGTCTAAGATCAATATTGGCTATGAACAAAGGCCAGAGTCTACTACTATGTTAAACGATTCAGTAACTCATGCTATAAACTATATAAGTTTAGAGTCAAACTTTAATTGATTGTCAGTTGAAGTATTGAGATTTGTTTGTCAAAAAATAAGTTTATTGTAAATAGGCCAAAAACAGGAGATTGTATCCAGGTTATTAAGAAAAAGTTAAAGCTTTTTAGGCCCAGAAAAGTCTGTTGAGAATATGAGTATAATCAGAAAGAGAAAGAAAGGTTAGTCACAATATGTAGAAAGCCAGAATAATATACTGTCAGAAGAACTAAAAGCTTTGTGAACAGATAATAAAACACAATATTCAGTTTTGAAAGAAAATTTACTAGATTCTTATAGCAAGCAAGATATAATAGGCCAAGATTTTTTATCAGATTATATATAAAAAAGAAAGCTTCTTGGCTACAGAACAGAATTGCTAAAATATAGTATAGCTTGCCCTACCCTAAAATTTAGGGTATGCATCTAAAAATTGGGTATATGCCTCAAAAAATAGGGTGAATACCCTATAAAACCTCATCTGGTCTAGGTTATACAATAAAACACTTTAGATCTTAAAAATAAAGGCTATGTGATATAAAATATACCCTAAAAAATGGTGTATATACTCTAAAAAATGGGTATATACTCCAAAAATGGGTATATACCCTAAAATTGTATAAAAAAAGGGTATATAATAGTATTATATATATATACACACGCGGGTTTCTCATGATAATTTCAGCCAAAAATTAGTATAATTCTGGCCAAAAATTGGTATAATGCTAGTAAAAAGAAGCAACCTATACTATAATTCAGCCACAGAATTGAGACTACTATTTGTAGATGATATTGAGCAAAGAAATGTTTGGACCAAGTGTGAGCTGTTTAAGCAGCATAACCAGTATAAATACAATAAATGGTATAGAGCAGAAGATTTAATAAATAAGGTAATAGCTTTAAGTAATATAAGCTACATTTATTTGGCAAGATATATTACTATAAAAAAGGTCTATATCATAAGGGTGCTGATGAAGATAGTTGGAAGGTTGCTGCAAAAATAGCAAATATAGATGAATTGGATCCAATAATAGAGTTGTTTAAAAGTAAATATAAAAATACTAGATTAGTGATACAATAGTTTGCAAGACCCAAGAAACAGAAAATTTCTTATTATACTTAGATAATTAGCACCAATTATTGACACCAACCTTGCAAATGAATAGATCTCTATAGCACAATTGGTACAGGTATAGTCATATACCCAACTAACAGATTTTTAGCTACAGTACTTGGGTATACAAAGTCCAGTTAATAGCTTGATGCTGTTTTTTTCACAAAATCTACAAGTGAGTTCATAATTTTTGCAAGCAGGAGGTCAACAGAGAGTATCAGAAATTATCTTACCACTGCTAACACAGCTATAATCTTTTTATCCAATCTCTTAGTGATTTATAAAGCAAACCTAGATAATAATATGACTGATATTTAATAGAGCATTATATTTATTACAAATTTTCATTTTTTATATTATTTATATATTATAGATTTTTGCTTAATAATATTGATAATTCAGAACAATCACCTGATAGTATTGTTTGTTTAGTTCTATTACCCAATAATAATATTGGTTATTTTGTTTTGCTTACAAGCTTTGTATTTTCTCACAGAAGTTTTGTGTTTTTATCTAGAAGTCTGATGCTATTATATAATAATGATAGTAGTTATATTATACTTTCTTCTAGTAACTATAATAAAAATAAAATATTTATTGTGGTATATACAGTATAAAAAAAATATATAAAAATGTTCATAGATATGGTGTTAAAAGGATGACAATGACAATTATGTGCAGAGAAAGGTATATAATAAATTGTAACCTAATATTATTTTCTAACAATAATATTTGGTCTTTTCAATAACTATAGAATAGTATCTTTATCTAATAACTGTAGTTTAATATTTTTGCCCAATAATTATAATATAGTATCTTTATCTAATAATTATAATCATATATCTTGTCTAATAAGTGTGATTATGCATTTTGACCCAAAAACTTGGTATTTTTGTATAATAATAATAGTAGTTATACTGTGTTTTATTCTAATAACTATAAAAAAAATTTATTGTAGGTGTATATAAAATATATATATATATTTATCATAGGTGTATATAGAAAAAAATATAAAAATACTTATAGATATAGTGTTAAAAGAATGATTATGACAATTATATGCAGAGAAGAGATGTATAATAAATAGTAAGCCATATTATTTTCTAACAATAATGTATGTTCTTTTCAATAGCTATAGTCTAGTATCTTGTAGTCTAATATCTTTGTTCAATAACTATAATATGATATCTTTATCTAATAACTGTGATATGGCATCTTTGCTCAAAAATCTAGTGCTTTTATATGATAATAATATATAATAATAATAGTAGTTATACTGTGCTTTATCTAACTATAAAAAAATAATATTTATTCTAGGAGTATATAAAAAAAATAGTATTTATTATAAGTATATATTGAAGAAAAAAAATATAAAAATATTTATAGATGTAGATAACTACAACAATTATATGCAAAAAAGAGACATATAATAAATAGTAAGCCAGGATCATTTTCTAACAATAATGTTTAGTTTTTTTCAATAACTATAAAATAGTATCTTTACCTAATAACTATAATTTAGTGTTTTCATCTAATAATTATGATTTGATACTATATCTTTGTCAAATAATTGTGATTATATATCTTCTCCTAATTATTATAGTCATATATCTTCTCTTAAAAATCTAGTGCTTTTATTTAATAATAATAGTAATTATACTGTGCTTTCTTCTAATAACTAATAAAAAAAAATTTATTGTAGTTGTATATGAAAAATAGTATTTATTATAAAATATATATAGAAAAAAAATATAGAAATACTTATAAACATGGTATTAAAGAGATAACTACACACCTATTACACTTATACAAACTATTAGAGAATACACAAATTCCAACAAAACAGCAACAAATATTACTATTCAATACTCTTACAATTATTGCAGAATATATACAACTTAATCTGGAAACCATACTGCACAAAGCTATCAAGCTGGAAGTGAAAACACAATATACTTACCCACATAAGTAGAAACTGAACCAGACAAAACACAACATCCACATCCAACCCACAATCAAGAATACCATACACCTACAGCTGTTGCTGTAGTTTATCTGACCAACAACACATAGATAATAACTGTCTACCCTTTGAAAAAGCTTTTAAAAAGGCATATACATGGTTAACTTCTTGGATAAAATATAGCACACCCACTAACCATATTATAAATTATAGAATTTAGTTGAGTTTTTAACCACTCTAGTAGGTTTAGGTTGCTGATAAATTAGATAGTTAAATATCTATAGTCTGAGTTTCATTCTTGTAAAAATATTTGTAATTATTGGTCTTACTAATCAGAGAAACCCCCTAGTGGATTCTCAAT